GTTGTTAACACCACTCCTCTTAGCCAGACTCTGTTCACTCGACTCATCCCCGGACAATCAGCTTCATCATCTGACTAATCCAGGAATAAAAATTTTAACTAAGACTGAGTCGTGTTCTCAAATGAAATGATGGAGTGTCTAGCTGATTCTAACACACTTAGTCTATGAGTAAATGCAATCTCTTTCCCCAGCCATGCAATGCCGCAATATGAATGACACACTTATCAAATAGTGACAAGAGAATCAAACAAGAAGTCTGTCTTAGTCTCGAAGCACACCATACCCGAAACACCACAATGGAACAGGCCAAGCCAGACCAAGATGATTGGTGAAAGAGAGTCTGGAAAGCGGCCGATCGGTCGACGCGGAGGGAACCGTGCTCGCGATCCAGCAAGCCGCTGACCACTCAGATGACCAAGACAGGCTAGGAAAGCAAGGAAGCCGAGGGCGACAGCGCGGGCGCCCGCCGATAAGGGCCGGGGAGCGTTCCCCGGAGTTGGCTCTAGTGCGTCGTGCATGGGGATTGGCGTTGGGGCGAGTCCCCAGAAGCCTGTGTGATGGCCAACGAAGGGGGAAAGCTTGATCAGCACAACATGACCGGCCATGTCGTTAGATGAAGGCTGTGCTCGGTGACTGACTTGATCGGCCGGTTGACTGCATGATTGGGAGAGGCGGAGCTTCGTCCCATGGCATCGGAAAGGTTTGGGCGGCGGGGTGGATGCAGAACCAGGCAACCAGGGTCGGCAGGGAGGGCAGGAAAGACAGTAGATCTGGGGTTGGGAAGAGGAATCCTAGGGGCGCTCGAACGTGACAGCGTTGAAGGTTCAGAGAGTCAGTTTCAGCTGAGTACGAAGAAGAAGTATCGAGGGGGATGGCGCAGAAGCAAGTATAAGAAGCTCGGCCTGGACGCATCGATGGGGCGAGCACAGCCCATGGAGCTATCGAGCCATTCCAGGCATCAATCAGACCAGATATAACAAAGCATATCCCCCAGATCGGCCTTTGCTTGTAGGCGCTTGGTTTCTTGGCTCCTTCATCACCAGACCATAAGAAGGAAGCATAGTGTCTGCAATACCTTTTGGTGCCATCCTTTTCCAACGAACCGGGATACATATACGTACATACAAAACACCAACTACCTACACGCCTACCTACGCAACTGCCGACAACCAGCCAGTGAGGATTCTACAGCAATTATCGGCTTGGGATAACCACCAACCGTGAACAACCTCCATAAAGAACAAAAAACAACCACAACAGACTCTGGGACATGGGCCACGAGCGACGGGGTTCGGCAGAGTCCACAAGCTCGACATCGTCCACATACAGCGCGGCCGACATGGACCTGATGCTGCAAAGGCGAGGTGCGGCGTGCGGGGAAGCGCTGTACCGCCACCAACGGTTCCCTCCCAGCAGGACGTTCACAGGTGCTTCAGGTGCTTCAGGTGCTTCAGGGGCTTCAGGGGCGTCAGGGGCTAGGCCAGATGGCGATAGCGTGGCGGTATCTTATCGGCAATGACAACTCAGTGCTTGTGCCCCACAAGAGGCACAAGTGCTTGTGCCCCACAAGAGGCACAACCCCCCCCCCCCACACGTGCCTTCGCGACTGAATCGAGTGAAGTGCAGCGCATCATCAGTGGCCGTCGCGTCCCTTTCCAGCCTTGCCAGCCCACCTTGACTTTTTAGCCTTGTCTGTATGCTGCATTTTTAGTAGTGGTCCCTCTTTTTTTGTAGACACTCCAGTGTGCCTTTTTCGTGATACCCCCCCGCCTTCCATTCTCCGTCGACCATCCCCTCGACCTCCATGTCATGGACGTGTCTTCTACGGTTTCGGCTCATACCAGGCAGCGCCAGCCTTAGACGTTTCTACTCTTATTCGTACGAAGCCTCCCGACAGAGATATACCCTCGCCGAAGAGTCATCAGGCGAAAGACCCCGGCCGCTCTACTTCAAAGTGCCCAGCAAGGGCAAACCGACGAAGCAAAAGCAGCCGCTTGCCTCGGAGCCCAATCGCCCACTGAGCGCCTCGTTCACATCTGCCTCGCATCTTGAACCCCTCCGACCCGCTGCCCGACCCAAGGCTGCCCTCAGAAACCGCGACGGCGGCTACGCAATCCACGCCCAGAACATGTCGAGCCACGTCCAGATCGTGGCCACGCCCACGGCCGACACGGCTGGTGCAGGCCTCCTCCTGCACTTCGACCACCGCCGGTACCACTTTGGCACACTCGCCCAGGGCACGCAGCGCGCCATCTCCCAGCGCGGCCACTCCCTCGCCAAGCTTGACAAGATCTTCATCGCCGGCGAGGTCAACTGGGAGACCACCGGCGGCATGCTGGGCATGATGCTGACGGTCGCTGACGGTCTCGCGGCCGTCGCCCAGGATGTCAAGAACTCCAACGAGGCGAGGCGCAAGGAGGGCAAGCGCGAGATCGCCACGCCCAACAAGACGTTTGAGATTTTCGGCGGCAAGAACACAGCACACACCGTGGCCACGGCGCGGAACTTCATCTTCCGCACCGGCATGCCCATCAAGGCCGTCGACCTGACCCTCGACCCCCGCGCCGCGCCGCCGCCGCAGCCCGACGCCGCACGACTATTCAAAGCCAGACTGGGAGGACGACACCATCTTGGTGTGGCACGTGCCGGTCGTCAGGAGCCGCCCTGGGGGGGGCGGCCCGCAAAAGCGGCAGCCCACAGTTGCTG